CCCGCTAATTAGAGTGAGAAGTCCAAGACGAAGTAGGGGAAATATATTCTGTAAGCAGCTGAAGTACAAGCAATCGCAATAGGAAGAAATCAAACGTATATATACGGTATAAAATTGTCCTTGGAAAGCACTAAAAAATAGCACACTAAAAAGATACAACGGACCAATAACGTTTAAAATATTTTCAAGTGGGAAATACGACTCGAAGGTGAAAGGAGCGCTTCTGGCGCGAAAACAAAAAATTCGAATTCGCAAAATAAGTCATTTACTAAGTAAGTTCTGGGGATTTAACATCCCCAACACCTATACATTATGTAACATGAGACCAAACATTTGATCTGATGTGTAATGACACCATTCATTTTTTTCATCTTTTTATTATAATTTATCCTCGTTAAATAATCTCATAATCTTATTTCACGTACAAAACTGATGTCAACATTGCATCAAACTAGTCATTTCAACAGTGACAATTTCGTGTTCAATAAAATTGTAATATATAACATTTCGAGGGGTTTTCCCGTTCATTTAATTGGTGAATACTGAGTACGAAAGCGTGATTTGCACTGGAGATTTCATTTTATTCACTTAGGACTATCCATGTCTTTTGTGAACAAGTCACTGTAGTATATCATAAAGTGAAAGCGCTTGAAATGAAACCTTAATAGTTAAATTCATGTACTCTCTAGTGACTGGCTTCAAGATGGACTTCCCGGGGTTCTACCGACAAGCCTTGACCAGTGGAGTGCAATCCATACTGGGTGGAGAAAGTTATCCACCTCACACAATGGATGAAGGGTTGCGCAAGATCATGAATAGACTGAAGTTAGACATTAACACCATCGGGTGCTGTCTTAGTGGTCTAGAGGTCAAGCGTTTGCACACAAGAAAGGTCTTAGGTTTGAATCACGTATGCAGGCTCAGGGATGCATACTGCTGAGTCCCATACTGAGACGAAACGCCCGTCCAATGCTTCCAGGTTTTTAGTGGCGGTCTAGCTTAGATCGACTAATGGATTCAACTATTAAAATTGCTACAATTTCCACAAATCCGTTTCAGAGTGAAAATTATGCTTTTACATACAAAACTCAACTATTAAATGAATGAAATCTTCGAGAACATTTGATGCCACAAGCATACTGAACATCAGAAAACGGTTACACTGTAAATTCGCTGACATGTATCTTATTCCCTTTCAATTTGTTCATTTTCGAGGATTATTGATTTACATATATAATTGTAGAAACCGAGAATTCATTGGAAAGAATAATCTTCCTTTATATACCCATGTGTTTAAATGAAATCAGAATTTTCGATTAAAGATGGGAATAGCATAGGTGAGTAAAGTGAATGTTATATTACACGAACAGTTATCATGTAATAGGATAGACGACTAAACTTATTTCAAATGATCTGCTTACGATGCAACTTGATTATTTGAATGTTCTTTAAATAGTTGATAAAGACACTCAATTTCAAATGTAGAAAATAGGATAAACAAATTCTTACTTATAAGTACTTAAGGATCAATTACTAGGTGTCACAATGAAACCGATTAAGAATGGGACTTATCATCATCGGTTAATTTTTCCTGACGAGAACAGTTGTCTATGAATATTTGTGTGAAATTTTATCAATCTCAGTATACATTATCAAGATGTGCTTAATCTCACCAATATGTCGAAGTTTCCCTATACCAAAAACGCACGATAATATAAACACTTCTACGACTCGGACAACAAATCAATCTGTAGTGAACATTTACTACACGATAAAAAAAGAATGATTATTTATTAGTCGAATGAGTTCTCCTATAATAGTTGCAAACTCAAACAACGCAGAAACTTTGTACATACGGCTTCAGTTGTCAAACAATATTAGCACAACCAGAGTAGCAGATATGATAATAGTATCAGTGCTGATAGAAAACAAGAAGCATAGACAATATGAATCGAGAAGAATGAGTTTGCAGAATAAAAAAGTACAAGCATTTCAAGAAAAAGAATGAGTGGATCTGCTTCAAAGAGACGCATTATGAACCATATCATCGGACATCTTTAACCTTTCCTTACGACAATTATGTGATTATTTATTTATTTAATCACATATATATTGGTACAAAGGGCACCGGATACATATGCGCCAGATAAAATAATGAGAATGGGAGGAGAAGGAAGAAGATGCGTAAATATAAAGGAGGGGAAAAAAGAAAATGAGAAGAGTAATGATAGGGGAACTGAAATGTACAACCAGAAGAACTCTCTCAGTTAGGAAAGTTATAACCACTCTTTATGAAGAAAGTAGAAGGTTACAGCAGGATCGCCATTGGCTTCTATTCTGAGCCATATCTGATAACGTCTCTAGCCACTGTGTTGCACCAACTCTCGGACCACAGCCAGGGAGTCGTGAAGGACCTTCGCAGCTTTCTTTCATGCCACGACACCATGTCATACACTGACCTCCTCTCCGCTTTTTCCAACCAGTCCCAGGGTCGGCAAATAATGCACGACGTGGAAGTCTCTGGGACGACATTCGTAAAACATGTCCAAGCCACCGAAGTCGGTGTTTCAAGATGGTGACACCAATTGAATTATCGTCTCTGCGCCCCAACACACGATGCCGAACCTCTGCATTACTAACATGGTGTTGCCACTGAATGTCAGCAATCCTTCGGAGACAACGATGATCGAACACAGAGAGACGTCTAACATCCTCAACTCGGAGAGGCCAGGTTTCACAAGCATAGAGCAAAACTGCTCTCACCGACGCGTTGTAGATTCGACCTTTAACAGCAAGACTAACATCACGAAGGCGCCAAAGATGGACCAGATTGGCATAAGCCGCTCTGGCTTTCCTTATACGTGCATCAATCTCATCACTCACGCCACCACCAGCACTTAGGTAGCTACCTAGATACACGAACTTCTCAACTACTTCAATCTGCTCACCATCCATGGTGAGTACAGGATGAGAATCCTGCCAGTCTTGTAGGAGTACTTTGCACTTGGAGGGTGCAAAGCACATGCCGTACCTGCGGACACTGATTGCCAACTGATTAAGTGCGGATTGCATGGCTTGAGCATTATCGCACAGTAAGACAATATCATCCGCATACTCAAGGTTGAGAAGTCGTTCTTCAGGCAGCAGATCCACACCGCCATTACTTACATCCATCAGAGCTGTTTCCATGGCGTCGTGAAGATGCAACCAATGCTCATCTATACTTTTCGGTGGGATGGTAGCTAGCCTAGAAGCTAGCTCCGCTCGATACTTACTTGCAACAGAAGTTGCAGCCAGTTTACTAACATCGATCCGTTGATGGCGGTCAATCCTTCGGCCACTGAAAATTAAGGTGAGATTGGCGCAGACCAGGGAATGATCAGACTCCAGATAGGTACTCCAAAAGGAGCGGCAGTCTTGTACACGACCACGCCAGCGGTAGCTGATCGCGATGTGATCAATCTGAGTCCAGGCTTGGGATGCAGAGGGAGGACGCCAGGTGGCACACCGGCGATGACTGTGCCGCAAGTTAGTGCTGGCCAGAAACAGGTTGTGGTCTGTGCACAGTTGCAGCAAACGGTCCCCGTTATCTGTCCTGCGACCAACAAGTCCCCATCGACCACCTAAACAACTCTCTTCTGTGCCTAGACGCCCGACCTGTGCATTCAAGTCTCCGGCTAGTACTACAATATCTGTCGAACGCGATTTCTGGAGAAGAACTGTTAACTGGTGGTAAAACTCATCCTTGATTGCATCCGGGCTGCAATCTGTCGGGGCATAGGCGGAGATGACGAAAAGACACCGTTTCTCACGCCGGTTTCTTCTCACTTTGATGGAACTTTCTAATCTAACAGCACATAACCGACTGTTAATGGGGGATCCAATCGATTAGTGCTGCCTCAGCTCTAGCGCTTAGTGCGACACCAACGCCAGCAAGACCAGACGAAGATGCCACAGGGTCCCCGGATAAGCACGCGTGAAACAAACTTTTCGAAGCTACAGATGTAGAGCGAATTTGTAGTACTTCACTAGAGTCTTGAATACGGGTCTCGGATAGACAGCAAACATCAACATTAAGACTTTCTAAAGACATAGCCAGCCCCATCTGTTGTCCGATCTGCATTAGTGTGCGAACGTTGAAGGAAGCCAGCTTGAACGGCGTACGTGGTTTCAGAAAGACTGCTTCAGTATTCGTAATCGGTGGAAGCATTCACTTTCAACCAGACAGTGACTGGAGATCGTTTAGATAGGACAGAGTTTCCACCATGGGCGAGCTACTGCATAAGTTGAAAAGTAAGGCTACACAAATTGGGGATAAAAGGGGGTGAGTTAGCGATATGGTAAATAATAATAATAATAATAATGCAAATTGATTTGTTTCCAGTATGAACGAGAATATAATTGTCAGTTGAATGTTCCATTTCATTTATGTGAACATCAACATGGTAGTATGAATATATTTATCAAAATGGCTTAATTCAACAGTTAATGGCTTGGTTTTATTTATTTATTTAAACACATAAATATTGGTACAAGGAAGCATCAGATATATATGCGCCGCACAAATCTTATTCGATTTGTGTGAGGGCTGTGATACTGCTCAGGTGCCCAAACTGAAGCAGGTGGTTTTCTTAGGCGACCACACCCGGAGCCTTTGACCTGAAGGTCTAGTCCACAAGGCAGTGGAGCATCGTGAGGAGATGCAGTCCCATGGTAGCCGGTGACCGACGATTGGTTCATACGCCATTTGTTCCCTCAGGATACTGGAGCCCATGTGCACCATTGGTTTAGAATCAGAGTTTTCCAACTCACCTAGGTGGACTCGCCGTTTCCATCAACCCGGTTAAACCGCCGGACATTCGCTTTTCGTTTTCTCCCTTTCGTAAACAACATCCCCGCCACGAGAAGGCAGTGAGTAGGACTTGTGTGGCAGAGGTTATATATTCGCTGGCCATGTGAGAGCATTTGGAGAGGGAGAGTGGACCCTCCCCACTCTCGGTCGTACCAGGGCATTTGGGGGCTAATAACTTGGTGAAATAATGACACACTTGCATTTGGCTACACTTTACTTTCTTCCGATCTACATACACACCATCAAATAAACGTAACAATGAACAAATTCAAAACAAAATGCTCCATTACATACAAACGTTATTACTTACAGAATTATCAAATTATATTACAAGATATGTGAACAGCTAATGGAGTAGCATAGTTACATGTCACTCTGTAACATTATCGACTATATATAAAATATGGTAGTCATGTATATATGTAAATACAAGGACCGCAGTAGTTAGAGATTATTAGTCATATATTATAATTCGAACTATTTCGAAAATATTCACTTAGTTATTAATAATGATAATAATATAACAATAACAGCGATAATGTATCATTCTTTGTCTTTTCTACGTTTTTTTTCGCGTCGTTTCTTTTTACGGCGTTCTTCATCGGTCATATCTAAACGACGTATTTTATAAATGTCTGGTGATTGTGGTGATGATGAATTCGTTTCCATTGGTATTGGTGACATTGATCGTGAAGAATTTTGACTTAATGAAGATGGATAAGAGTGAGACGACGCAATAGGATGATGATGATGCACTGATGATAGTGGATGTTGATGATGGTGTAGATGTGATGATAACTGTTGTTGTTGCTGATGACGATAGTGGTGAAACTGATGAGAAGGGGGTTGTGAAGGAACAGATGAATTGATAGGATTTATACTTGGTGGATGAATAGAATGAAGTACCGGTGGAGCAGGTGGAACAGATTTATTTGGTGTTAAACTAACATCAATTGTATTACTATTGTATAAAGGATTTAAAGTGGATGATGTATTTTGAATTGAATGTGGCAATTTTTGATTTGAATGATGATGTATGGGAGCTAATAATGGAGGAGGTGGAGGCTCTGAAGATGATGACGACGTTGAAATAGAAGATCCTAATAGATGAGAATGAGGAGCTGATACAGGTATAAGACCAGGTGGATGATCTACTAACTTACTATGGTTTACCACTTGAGTAACAGGATTGTTATCTAAGGCATTAGATGATTGATTTGACATGGTTACATTGGTACATGGTGCAGAAGTTGTTATACTTAAGGATGAAGAAAGTGTATGAGACTGTGAAACCATAGATTTTGAGGATAACGATGCCGTTGTATGTACTGCTCCTAATTGAGGATAGGCGGTCGGTGCTCCAGTGAAAAATGATGCTGGACTGGCACTAACATTTCCACTTCCTACTCCTCCAACACCTGGTACCCCTATAGACGAACTACTGTCACTTCCAGATGCAAGTGCTCCTCGATGGACTTCGTGTCGACGGCGTCTACGATGAAAAGATCCTGAACTAGACAGGCCAGGCACAGCTGTAGCCGGTACACGAGTACCTGTACCATTACTTCCCATAAGTTGCTGTTGGTCTTGTACACTACGATGAATATGCTTGGATGGGGCAGCTGCAAAAAGGGAAGCATACTCTTGAGGTAAAGGTCCAGGATGTAACCGAAAGGCATGGTCCAACTGACTGGGTGCAAATGGTCTTAACTCCTTACCTCGAATTGGAGGTCTTTCAATTAAACTCTAAAACGCGATGCAAATAATAAGAAGTATTACTATGTATATAGTTAATCGAAACAATAAATTGTAAATACATACACTAGTATACAGCGTCTCAAGTTTCTAATAGTACAAATTAATATGACTATTTGCCTGTACAGCAAGAATACATTTATATAACTAACTTATTTATTTAAACACATAAATATTGGTACAAGGAAGCATCAGATATATATGCGCCGCACAAATCTTATTCGATTTGTGTGAGGGCTGTGATACTGCTCAGGTGCCCAAACTGAAGCAGGTGGTTTTCTTAGGCGACCACACCCGGAGCCTTTGACCTGAAGGTCTAGTCCACAAGGCAGTGGAGCATCGTGAGGAGATGCAGTCCCATAGTAGCCGGTGATCAACGATTGATTCATACGCCATTTGTTCCTTCAGGATACTGGAGCCCATGTGCACCATTGGGTTGGAATCAGTGTTTTCCAACTCACTTAGGTGAAATTCACGAGTCCACCAACCCGGTAAAAGCGCCGGACATTCGCTTTTCGTCCTCTCAATTTCGTAAACAACATCCCCGCCACGAGAAGGCAGTGAGTAGGACTTGTGTGGCAGAGGCTATATATTCGCGTGGCCATGTGAGAGCATTTCGAGAGAGAGAGCGGACTCTCCCCACTCTCGGCCGTACCAGGGCATTTGGGGGCTATTTAACTAACACAGGAACTTAGTTCAAGTTGCTTAGTGAGTGTGTATTAGTAAACATGGTCACCGTGACTGAAGCCTTAACAAATCCCTCACCAGTTCATTCAAATTGTTAAGCTAAAACATTATCCTTTGAAATAAATATCCAAATTTATCTTAAAGTTATAGTATTTGCCTTTAACAAGCCTAAATGAAAAAAGTCAGTGTACAATTGAAACACTATTAGACAATGTAAATTTTATAATTAATCCTTGGCAAACCTCCACATTAAAGTAAACTAGGGTTATAAATGTAATCTAGTAGGAGCGTTTTCATCTTATTTGGTACTAATCAGTTGTACATACCTATGCCTTAGTGTTCATGTTCATTATACTAAGACTGGAATTCAGTCCGTACATCTCTTTTCAAGCGTTCAATGTGTCATCTATTGAACTACGGACTTCAGATGGTCACTGGTTTGTAAAACAAATATTAATTTTATTTATTTGGGAAAATATAAGCATTTATAGATAAATAATTTTTCAATTGAGATAATGAACCGATAAATGTTAGACCACCATTGAAAACCTGAAAGTACTGGACAACCCACCAAAGACAATAAAAGAAGGTCACGTAATAATATGGATTGGTTGAAATTAGACCATAACACCGTTGGGTGCCAGCTCAGTTGTATAGAGGTCAAGCGTTCGCGCGTAAGACCGAAGTCCTACGGTTTGAATCACGTGTACGAGCTCGTGGATGCGCACTACTGAAGAGTTCAATACTAAAATGAAATGGCCGTCCAGTGCTCCTAGGTTTTCAATGGTGGTCTAACACTGAAGGATTCATGATTTCAATTAAAACTTAACAATTTCCACAATCCTATACTGAAAATATGATGTCAGAAATTATGTAGACATATGTATAGCCTAACATTTTATGTAATGTAGTACAGTAAGGTTTAGAATACAATATTTTGATATCATATATTTAAGAATTGGTCACCTTATAGAACTGAAGCATTTAATTTTTTTTTAATAAAAAGAAATAGTGTACGGTTAATAACTATTATGAAATACATGTTTTCCAGAAGTATTTAGAATATATATATATCCAATGAATAGCGAAGCAGTGACTTAGTTAGCGACTAAAATACTTAACATCTAATCAATAATTAGCATGTATACACTCGACTAACCTATTTTCATTTATTTATATAAACACAGAGATTGGCACAAGGAGGCACCAAATACATATGCGCCACACTTTGTCATTCTATTTGTGTGAGGGCTGGAATACTCCTCAGGTTCCCGGACTGATATGTCGGAAGCGTTACGAATTCACTAGTAACGAACGGAACAAAGACACGTGACCAGAGACCGATAACTAGCTATACTGACGCGACCCAGACCCAGCTACTAGAGTAAGAAGTCCAAGTTGGAGCGGGGAAGTTATATTCCGTAGCAGCCAGAAGCACAGTAATCAAATAAGGGGAAAAGTCAAGCGTATTTATACAGCAACAATTTGTCCTTGGGCATCATTAGTAAATAGCACACATAAAGAAGCAATGGACCAATAGCGTTTAAGATAGTTTACAAGTGGGAAATATGACGTGAAGGTAAAAGAGCGCTTTTTGGCGCGAAAACAGCTAAATTCAAATTTTCAAAATAAAATTACAAGATTAAACCATTTACCAAGTAAGTTCTAGGGATTTAACATCCCTAACACCTCCCCCTTTAATAACGCACACTCTTCGGGTCCACTTGCATTCTGACTGTCTTTCGCCGTTGGCGCAGTGACCATCTTCGAGACCGTAGGTCGACCTTTTGTGTTTCTTCATGCGTTGGGACTGCCGGCAGATTAAATGTATCCAATAGTACGTCCAGCGGAATCTTTACTCCGGTCGATGGGCGCTCTAGCGTTAATCGCTTGCGTAGTTGATTTCGATGTCTGGTCCACCTGTCTGCTCCCACCTCAACCTCGTATATGACTTCTCCTATCCTTCTTACCACACGTGCTTCGATCCAAGGATCACGATTTGCTCTGTAGTCCCTAGCGAATACTGGGCATCCAACGTTGTACGTGGGTAGCTTCCGGGACGTGGTTTGTACTAGTGGTGGTGTGGTTTTCGGCAGCATCAAGTTGTGAATGGTCCTCAACCGTCTTCCCATGAGGATCTCTGCGGGCGACTTCTGCTCCGGCAGCGTGTCGTTGGGGGTCGTTCTGTAGGCGAGTAAAAAATTATACAGTGTTTCCACTGGCGTCCCCTCCCCTTTTGACTTAATCAGAGCTCTCTTGAATGTATCCACGAACCTTTCCGCTTGCCCATTCGATTGTGGGTGATAAGGTGGGGCGCGAAGATGCCTGATGGTTAGGCGTTTGCAGAATTCTTGGAACTGCGCCGAGGTGAACTGCGAACCGTTGTCAGATACAATCACTTCCGGTAATCCGTTTCGTGCGAACAACTCAGTCAGATGTTTCAGAGTCTGGGTGGTCGTTGGTGGATTGACGGGAACAATCTCCGGCCATTTCGAGAAGGCGTCGACCACGACAAGGTAAGTGGTTCCGTTGATTGGACCGGCAAAGTCGACATGTATCCTAGACCAGGGATGCTCAGGCTGTGGCCATGGAACCGGCGGCACCTTTGCATTGAACTTTGCAGCTTGTTGACACTGAGCACATTTGTTCACTAGATCCACGATATGCTGGTCCATGAGGGGCCAGTAAGCATAGCTTCTGGCGATGGATTTCATACGCTTTATGCCTGGATGACCAATGTGGAATTGCTTCAGCACCCTCGGTCGCAGGGATTCTGGCACCACCACTCTATCTCCAAACATCAAGCATTCACTTACAACACATAACGAGTCACGACGATGGTAAAGCTGCTTCATGTCACCGTCAAGTTTAGTTGATGGCCAGCCATGGGTGACGTAGTTCATCGTTTTCTTAATGATGGGGTCGTTTCTGGAAGCCGTTTGTATCTCAGATTCTGAGACTGGCAAAGCACGAACAGCCGTTATCAGGTAGCATTGTGCGTGGTCTTCTGTCGAAAGAGAAGCAATAACGGCATCTTCGTCGGTCGTAGAGTGTTCGCTGATGAGTCGTGACAATGCGTCTGCCTGACCAAAATGTTGCGTGCGTCGATACTGAATGTCAAAATCATAACCCAAGAGGATCAAGGCCCATCGTTGAAGACGGTTTGCAGAGTGGGCCGGGACGCCAGACTTCGAACCAAAAATTGCAAGGAGAGGCTTGTGATCCGTTAGAAGAGTAAATCTCCGACCATATAGAAACTTGTGAAAACGACGCACTGCGAATACTAGGGCAAGAGCCTCCTTCTCTATCTGGCCATACTTCTTTTCTGCTGGGGTTAATGTTCGGGATGCATGCATGATAGCTTTCTCTGTCGCGTCGGGGAACTGGTGTGAAATAACGGCACCGAGCCCAAAGGCTGAAGCGTCTGCGGCCACGATGATTGGCAAAGACGGGTCGTAGTGCGTCAATAGTAGTTCTGAACTAATAATTGTCTTTAGCTTACAAAAGGCATTTTCACATTCCTTTGTCCAGTTCCAGCTGGTATCCTTATTCAGGAGATAATTCAGTGGGGCGCGTATGTCATGCATCGATGGAACGAAGGCTGAGTAATAACTAACCAATCCCAGGAATGATCGTAGAGTAGAGATATTGGTAGGTGTGGGCATAGTTCTTATAGCTCGAATGTTCTCAGGATCTGGTCTGCGACCTGCAGCATCAAAGATGAACCCCAAATACTTCACGGATTTCAAGAAAAGCTGGCACTTTTCCGGGCGTAACCGGAACCCGTTGTCGCTGACGCGTTGGAGCACGGCTGTTGTGCGTTCCCGTAGCTGTTCCGACGTTGTGGCAACAATGAGGATGTCATCCAGATAAGTCGCGACCCCCGGGATACCTGATAGAATGGTATCCATTAGCTGCTGGAAAATAGATGGGGCGGTCTTGACTCCAAACGGCAGTCGATTATATTGGAACAGTCCACGATGAGTATTAATAGTGAGTAGCTCTCTTGATTCTTCAGCCACTTCTACTTGTAGGTAGGCATCAGCAAGATCCAACTTCGCAAAGTACTTTCCGCCATTCAGCATAGTGAACAAATCTGCCGGGACTGGCAGCGGATAATGATGCTGTTCTAGGGCTGCGTTGAGACCTGTGGAAAAATCTGCACATATTCGGATTGTACCATTAGCCTTCTTGATAACAACAATGGGTGCTGCCCATGCGGAATAAGAGACAGGAGTAATAACTCCTTCACGTTGAAGGCGATTAAGTTCTTCCTCAACTTTCTGCAATGCAGCATATGGTAC